CAGAAACAAAAAAACAAAAACAAAAACAAAGTAAAACAACAACAAAATAAAACAAACAAACATCAAAAACAAAAACCAACCAAACAAAAAACAACAAACAAACCCCCACCCTCAACAACAAAACAACGGAGGATTCTTCAAGGGACATAACCGTTTTATTGAGGAAAAGAGATCGCGAGCTGAGTGTTGCCTCTTGTACTACTTCCAATGTCCAACTTATGAGAGTCCTCGCCACAGGCTGTCAAGGCTGTTGAAAATCTTCGCTTTGAGCCCCAAATGTGTAGTATTACAGAGTTTCACTTACATTTTAGAAGAACTGCTTTCGCCACTGGAACTGAGTGCTTTCAAAAGTGATCTACCTGAAAATCAGAAAAATGGAGTTCATATTAGATAACACCAACCTCACGATATCTGAATTTAATGACATTTCAATAGAGCTGTAATCAAGCTCTTGAAAAGCAGTTTTTTAAAATTTACTTATTTATGTTAATTCATTTATCAACTAATTACTTTCCTTCTTTCTTGTGGGTGGTTGGCGGGTGCGCTGGTGTGGTTTGCTCCTTCTTTCCTATCAAACATCTGTCGTCCTTATCTCCCTTCCTTCTTTTTTGTGTTTGTTACTCTCTTGTAACACCTCTATTCTTCTGGCGCTCATATGACCTTATGCAGTTGCGAGCGCCGTAAAACCTCTACTAAAACTTTTTTTAAACCCACTAAAACTCCTTCTTTCTTTCTTCCTTGCAGGCGTTTATGGTGTAGCGGTTAGGCGCTTCGCTGTTGAACACAGAAAACCCGAGTTCTATTCCAGAGTGGGAAGATTGTTATCGAGTATCTCGGTCTTTCTGCTGGCCTGGTATAGTTCTATCCCCTTCAGCTTGGGTTGGCCTTTAGGGACAGGTCCGAAGCCTGCCTCGTAAATGATCTAAATTGTGTTGATTGGGGCCTAATATCCGCCTAATCTTTTTTAAGTGAAGAAGAGCTACTGCACCTTAGATCTAGCACGAGTAGAAAATTCGTAACTCTTTTTCTGACAGGTAAAGAATGAGAAGGAAGTCTGACAGACGGGCCCAGTAGTTTAAAGATAAGGTGATTGTTTATTTATTTATTTATTTATTTATTTATTTATTTATTCATTTATTCATTCATTCTTTCATTTATTTATTCATTTATTTATTTGTTTAATCATTTATTCATTCATGCTGTAAATATGTTTGCTTTGTTTTTGATATCATTGCAGCCTGTGTACAACCATTAGAATAAAAAAAGAAGAACAGAAAATAACGACCTTCTCTAGACTTGATTCCCAAGTTTTAGACCTTAATCTATCTTTTAAATTTGGTAGTGATTAATTAAAGGATAGAGTCTAGCTATTTAAATACTGTTGAACTTCTGCAAGTGTAATTTTTGTTTTGCCGGTTTGATGACGTCTAGGGAATACTACCAGGGAAAATCAAAAGGAAGGAAGTGAGTATTCTCACCCGGGGTGGGATTTTTTGTTGTTGTCATTCCCGCCCGGGTCGGGTCACTTCTCAACTTTCCTATCTATCTAGATCTAGATTCTGTCACTTATTATCTTTTCTATCTATCTAGATCTAGATCTAGATTCTGTCACTTTTCATCTTTCCTATCTATCTATATGTAGATTTTATCACTTTTCATCTTTCCTATCTATCTATATGTAGATTTTTATCACTTTCCATCTTTCCTATCTATTTAAATCTAGATTCTTTCACTTCTCATCTTTTCTATCTATCTAGATCTAGATTTTGTCACTTCCTTCTGTCCTATCTATCTAGATCTGCATTCTAGAGATGTTTTATAAGATTTAATACAGGCTTAAGGCCGACCTCTAAACCTGGGGTGAGAATTAGACACATACACTTGCAGATCTAGCCTAAGGAGATCTAGTACGCCTCTACAATTTTATGCTGGGTTTGGAAATATTGAGCAGATTCAAACGAGAGTGCTAATGCCCAACGGGAAAAACATAACCTTCAGCATTTGAATGCTTTCTGTCGTATCAAATCAATCGTATTGAAAGCAAAGAAAAAGGGCAAAAATATGAATGAAAGTAAAACTAAATTATGCACACAAGAACTCAAACTCCTAAGTAAAAAAAATGGAGTAAATTATTTCAAAATCTCCTCAGGGGGGTGAGAATAAGAAAAAATGTTATCCCCACCGCGAATACTACCAGTAAAATTAGTAAAATTAAAAAGCTTTGAAATAATATTCTGGTTGTCTGCCTTGTGCGGCGAAGACAATGCAGATTTTCAAGGGAAGCAATTACGACTCTGCTGATCGCTTTGTAGTATTATCTTTGTTATGTCCCTTTGACCATCTGTTTTCCGGGTCAGGCCGCAAGCATAGTATCGCCCGACACCGACAGACAGACCAGACCCGCCGTTTTCTGTCGGGTGCGGAAGACCATATTAACACCGGTTTTTGTCAGTCAGACACCGCCGTCTGGCAAATATGGCGTGTAGCAGAAGAAGAAAATTGTTGCTGTTGTTGCTTTTGAGACGCAGACAAAAAATTAAAACCACGACAAGAAGATTTTCTCGCGCTTCCCATCCAAAGAAATCGTGATACACTAGGTGAATTTCATCATTTGTTTCCACCGTTGTTGGAAGATGGTGAAATTTCCAACAATACTATCCCATGAAACATAGCTGTTTCAATGAACTGCTAGAGATATGCAGAGCTGACTAGAACTGCTAGAATTCTGTGTAGTGCCATTGAGGCGGAAAAGAGGACACAACTATGCAGAGATAACATCATTAAAATTACCTCCCATCTCGCCCGACGACCCAACGGACCGTCTTCGATAGAACATGTTTTATCGGAGACGGTCTGACCGGGGACGACGCATTACGTCGGGCGTCAGTATGGTAGCCGAAACCGTTTTTTTTGCTAACTTTCATTACTAAAAAGCCGATGCGAATTCTTTTGTGACCGAAGACGGTCTGGTCTGACCGTCGGTGTCGGGCGTTAATATGGTTGCAGCCTTAGACTGGTCTTGCTCCGGGTCGAGTCACTTCTCATCTTTCCTATCTATCTAGATCTAGATTCTGTCACTTCTCATCTTTTCTATCTATCTAGATCTAGATTCTAGAGATGTTTTATAAGATTTAATACAGGCTGAAGGCCGACCTCTAAACCTGGGGTGAGAATTAGACAGATACACTGGCAGATCTAAGTAGACCTAGTACACCTCTACAATTTTATCCTGGGTTTGAAAACATTGAGCACATTCAAACAAGAGTGCTAATGCCAACGGGAAAAACGTTACTTTTAGCTTTTGAATGCTTTCTGTCCTATCAAATCATTCTCGTTTATAGCAAAGAAAAAGGCCAAGAATATGAATGAAAGTAAAACTAAATCATGCACACAAGAACACACACTCCTAAGTAGAAAAAAAAACGGAGTAAAATATTTCAAAATCTCCTCACGGGGGTGGGTATAAGAGAAAAGTTTATTCCCACCGGGAATACTATAAGTACAAATTAAAATGAAAAAGCTTTGAAATAAGATTCTGGTTGTCTGCCTTGGGTGGCGAAGACAATGCAGATTTTCAAGGGAAGCAATTACGGCTCTGGTGATCGCTTTGTAGTATTATGCTTGTTATGTCCCTTTGGCCATCTGTTTTCCGGGTTAGACTGGTCTTGCTCGTCTGGCTGCTTTCTTTTTGGCCTAAGTCAGACTTAGACCAAAATGTAACTGACGAACCACTGGACTTCTTGACATCTGCTTAATAATATAGAGACGTAAAATTAGACTTATACTCCAATCCATTTCAAAGAAAAAAGATGCATTTGGCCTAAGTCAAAAGTGACATTGATTTTTCCGTTTAATTTGGCCTTAGTGTGACATAGTTTAATTCGTCTCTCATTCATTTTAGCCTAATTCAGACTTTGGCCAAAAACTGGGCAAGTTTCTTGCTCCCAATCTTGGATCTAACTGTCCATTTCAGTCAAATGGTTTTCAAAATGGCCTTTGTCATTTAGAATTGAAAAACGAAAAAATAAATTATGGTTCAAGTCATTTTTCAAAACGGCCTAAGTCAGAGGCCACAGTAATGAAATGGCAAAATAAAATATTATGTCAGCCACATCTCATAATTTTGGTTTTTATTGGAAAATAACTATTAGTACAAAAGACGGACGGTAAATTAATTAGCTCTGGAAATTTGGGGCTGTCAAAGTGCATTTTTCACTTACTGAGACAGTTTTCTTCAGTTTTCTCCAAAGAGAACAAAAAATGACTTAGGTCAAAAAGGTAGTAAGTGCAGCTTGACGTTATTGTGCTGCTTGGTGACTTCAGGTTTCCATATTATTATTATTAATAATATAATTAATACTGTTATTCATATTATTATTAATATCATCATTATAATTATCAATTGTGTTGTTGTTGTTGTTGTTGTTGTTGTTGTTGTTGTTGTTATTATTATTATTATCATTATTATTATTATTATTATTATTATTATTATTATAATTATTATTATTATTATCATTGTTCTTATTGTTTTTTGTGGTTGTTGTTATTATTATTATCATTATTATTATTATTATTATTATTATTATTATTATTATTATTATTATTATTATTATTATTATTATTATTATCATTATTATTACTGGAAGATAAATCATGAAAGCATTTATAACATCTTTAAGCTGACACTAGGCTGTTGACAAATACAGGAACAAAACCCAAAAGCTCGATGTACTGTCGGACCTAACGGCGGCTATGCATTATGAGGAGTGTGGATATATGTGAGGCAGCGTGGTGGAATCAGGCTCTCGTCAAAACTATCAAAGGGAAGAAAATTGCATTTTTCCACAGGTTTGTGAATTTTTATCAAATTTTTGTTTTTTGGCTCAACACCTTTCATGCCCAGTACAGAACTAATTTCTGCGTGGATTTTTCTGGAAAACGTTGATTAAAGGCACAAAAAATGTAAATTTTCAGTTACCACAGACTCTTAACTAAGAAAATAACTATTCTTTGGGGGCCATTTTTTCACTAATTTTAACTCTGAAAGTAAATGACCCCTCACCTCCTTCCTTCGCCAATATCTCGACTAGTATTCAAGATAAATGGATTTTTTTTTTCATTCTAATAAAAATAAATGAACAAGCTTTAAGATGATACCAATAACTCTACATGCCCAAAAATTGACGAGAGCCTGATTCTACCACGCTGCCTCACATATTATAGCGGAGAGGACACTACACAAGTACTTGTACCTTTTGTACTTTAAGACCAATAATGTTAGTTACCAGCTTACTCTACTACTGAAACATTCTCTAATATCCCCATGACAACAAAACTCAAAACGATCAACACCACATTC